CCTACCTCTCTCTCGTTGTCTCTCTCTCTCTCTCTCTCTCTCTCTCTCTCCCTCTCTTTCTCTCTCATTGTTCTCTCTCTCTCTCTTTCTCTCTCTCTCTCTCTCTCCCCCCTCTCACATTCTCTCTCACGCTCGTTCTGCGATATGTTAGTTTAAGGATACCTGAACGCGCTTTACGCGAAGGACGTGTACCTCCTGGCGGATGCGATCCTTCTTCGCTGACCGTTCCTTCATTCGCTATCGTTATCGTTATTATTACTTTTTCTTTTTTTTTCCTTCTCGGTTTCTTGGTTATTACCGGGAGCCGACGAGCGCTGATGAGCCCGCGCACCACGAAGAGCAAGAGCCACGCGACCTCCTGATTTAACCGAGCTGCTGCAGGAAGTTCGGGGTCTTGAAGTACTCCGGCACCGGGTCGTCCAGCCTCGAGATCACTTTGTAGATGGACTTTTTCCAGCTCTGCTCGGTGTCCTTGCCACCTTGGATCGCCTTGAAAAATTCTTTTAACGTTTGCTCGACGACGTACCTGAAGTTGCTCGGCACCTGTAAATCCCATCCAACATTGTCAATTCTTCGATCCCTTCCTATTAGATTATTCGTCTGTCTATCTATCTATTATCGCCAATAATTTCAAATGTATTCGGTATCGGTGGAAAATGTTGCATCACAACGGATTCGTGTGTAAACCGAATGTCTCTTACCGAGCGAAAATTCGAATATTCGTGAGAAGAAGTTAAAAATTCTTCGGTCGGATAATAATTTGAAAAACCGCTCGGATAATAGAGGAAACGATGCCGTTGAAATCGCTTTTCGTTTTATCCCGATATCTCGACCCGTTTCCGAGATATAACGGTTCAAAGTTTTCCTTGTAACGCTTGAGACGCGGCGAGGATAATGAATGGAGCCGCGACCTACATTTTTCTCTAGGAATCGCCGCGTACTACGTTTTTTCTAGGAATCGTGTCTGGCGCTTGTCTGCCGTTCGAGACAGGTCAGCGAAGCGAGGCGCGAGCGAGAGTTCCGAGTAGGACGACAAGGACGAGGATGGTAAACGATTAAAAATTATCCTTCTCTTTACACGAGGATATCTCGGGAACCGGAAGTCGTATCGGGATAATTCAAAAAGCGTTTTAAAGGGGAAGATTCTGCGCTTCCAACGATCTCCGCTCGATCGAACGAAACTCGTTAACTTCGAAGTTACAACGGTTTAAAGTTTTCCCAATTTTAATACCGAGCTTGATCGAATTTTACAAGTTACGTGGACGGATACGTTTACCTATGAAGAAATATCCTTCACAACGATCCCTATATTGATATATCGGAGGACTTTGAATCGATTTTAAAGATTCTTCTGATTCGAAACTAACTTTTTATCCTCCACTCATGTATATACATATATATATATATATATATATATATTTACGTAAGAACACGCGAATCTAATCGTTCTCTAATTATAGAACGCGAATATAAATTACGCGCAAGCGCGTGAATTAGATTAATCCTGTCAAGGGATCAATCGTTTGAGCTAATGAGAAAAAAATCCGCGAGAGTGGGAGCGAAAGGAAGAGAAAAACAAAAAAAAAAAAGAGAAGGAAAAGATAATTTCTCGCCGCTCATTACGGTTCACCGAAGGAGTTCACCCGCGTATCCGAAGTATTAAAGCGATGTTACGCGCGTGTATCGCTTAACGAGCGGCCGTGCCAAGAGTTACCACTTATAATTAGTACGTTTGGGTTATTAACGAACACGAGTAATTAATTACGCGTCAAGCGGGCGGCAATTGTGACCCAGGCCCGTAAGAATGGAGACTCCAGGTTTCACCAGGAGACTCGTTAAATAATATTAAATAGCTGCTTTACGTGTGCACCCGTCGAGCGCCACCGCCGCCGCCGCCGCCGCCACCGCCGCCGCCGCTGCAAATACAATCAACGGTCGTTACGCCGTGGCGAAAGTAAATTGCGCCCCACAATGGGAAAGTAAGAGACGTACGAGTGATTTGCAACACGCGCTGTTACTCCACGGATACGGATATACACAAACCAACTGGAATTCGTTTAAAAGCGTTCCGCGAGATGAGAAAGGCGAGGTAAACGGTGGCGCGGTCATGGCCGACCGCCGAATAATTGCGCTGTCTCCGACTCCCGGCCAATTTTCTCGCCCCCATCGAAATTTCCACTCTGACAGCTCGATTCCGGAAAACGGCACGTCACGGAAATTTGATTCATTGGCGAATCATGCGGCGCGCAGGTGGTTGGACGACCGTTTCTTCATTGCTCTTCTTTACGACAACGGAGTCGGTATCTTTTCGTTGTGAAATTGAGAATATCGGGGGAGGGGAGGAAAGGATAGGTGTTTCTCTTGAAATAATTTTGCGAGATTTAACGCGTAAAGTTGAGGTTCGGATTGAGATCGGGATGTAGATGAGAAACTATGTAGGGTAATAAGAAAAGATGCTTAAAAGAGTTCTTGATAAGCGCTCCGTGAATGGAAATTGTAACGTTTAATTATATTAATATTTCTTGTGCATCTTCAAGATCAATTTACCTCAATGTGGTTGTTTCTGTTGTAATGAAGGTTGAGAACTCGATAGATTTCCGAGTCGCCTCCAACTCGTAGGTCATCTGCGTTCTTCACACCTTCCGAAACAGCTTGCCTCGCGTATTTCTCCATTTGGATGTAGTAGAACTCCCTGAAAAAGTAACGATAAATTAATCATCGATATTATTATTAATTTTCGCCGATAATTTTAGAATCGATCTTGAAATTTGAAAATTTGATACGTAAAACAAATAACGGGCTGAATGTTATAATTTTTTTAAATCCTTAAATTATATATAATAAAAATCGTTAAAATTCTTTTCAATCCGGGAGTACTTTGATCTTTTTCGATCCACAATTTGTCATCAAAAAGTTATTAAAACTAGACGATCGAAAATTAAACGTTACTTCCTGAAAAACATCATTTACAACATAATAATAAACATCGTCCTCTCCACCATCTTTATTTAATCCAACGAAGACACATCCTCGTGATGATTCGTTTCGAGAAGGAGGGGGAGTTTAAAACATATTTTCTTCGAAAGCGTATGGCGGGCGCCATGTTGATTCTCGCGTAACGTAGAATGCTAATGCACTACCGATAATTAATTAAGGGGGGTCGATACTGAAAGTGGTCTGACGCAGAAGCGGCAGAAGAAGATGAAGAAGGAAGAAGGGCAGGGAGAGAGAGAGGGGGAGAGTGAGAAGAGAGAGAGAGAGAGTCGCAAAGAGGTGTGTACAACTCCTCGTCGGCTGGCAAGCGACGCGGTTCAAAGAGACTATTAAGAACGTGTTACACTGTATCGTCCAAGAAGACCTCGACACCCTCGCAGAGGCAACCGCCGACGTTTACAGACAAGCATGAACGAGTGCGGGCGTGTACTTACAAACGCCGCGGGATCGCGCGATACACGCGCTGGTTTTTTCTCTCCTTTTCTCGCAAAGGAGGAGGAGGAGGAGGAGGAAAGAAAAAAAAAAAAAAGAGAAGGAAAAAAATAAAATTGTGCTCCCGACGCGAAGTTTGCCGTTTTACGTTCATTAATTAACGCAGTTAAACAAGCACAAGTCACTAATTGGCGGGTAATTTGTATAGTAATAGTGACCCAAGCTTTCGCGCGGAGAAACCGTGAAGGGGCGGCAGGCACCAAGGGGTGGCTTCGCTTCGATGGATCTCACCGAAAACTCGGGAAAGGAAACGGTTTACGACGCCGACACAGAGCCAGCCACTTTGAACCGACGTCTTTTGTGCCACGTCTTCGCTCCGCCATTGATTAAGAAAATAATTATTTTTCTCAATTGGACAAGGCTCCGGACGTTAGTTTCTTCGAGAAGAATGAATGAAAGTGCGATGGTAAGACGATTATGGTCATACAAGCCTTTGATACTTTTATCGTGTCATACTCCCCTTCCGGATATCTCCAAGGAAAAGTTTGTTTTAATTATTCCGGATAGAAGAACTAACGGGCAGATGTTTGATCGAAAATGTTTCAAAGGAACGCAAGTTTTTAACCGTAGACCGTTAATAAAGTAAATGTCAGGGTATCGCGCCGGTTGAATTCTGAAAATAGAGCATCTCAACATTTGTTTATATGGGCGAATTTTCATTAAACTGTTGCAACAGCCTCGTTTTAAAAATATATCGTTATTAACGATTTATCTCAACACGTTATATCGTCATTGTATTTTTTCCTCTTCTTTCTTTCATTCGCTTTCGTTCGCTCCTTCCACTCTACGTTTGGTTCGTAAAAACGGAGCGATATCGGGAACCGTCTCGACGGACAAGAGAAAATAAAAAGAAAAAGAGGGATGGATGGTGAAAGACGTCGATGACGAATAAGAAAGCCGGTCTTCTCGCATTCTTCGGTGCCACGAGTGAACAAGTCGAGCGAGGAAAACGCGGGAATGACTTGACGCGACGAGGTGGGAGGAAGGGCGGGTTGCTACTTGCTCGGATATTTTTCCATTCTTTTCCCGATCTTTTTCTCTCCGAGGTCCCTATCCTCCTCACCCTTGGCGAACGTACACAGAGAGGTGGAAGAGTATCCTAGAGTAGCAGGCCAGGAATGGCAGCGAGAATGGCAGTCAGGTTGATCTTACACTTTGGATCCCGAGGGGATGCAAAGAAGTACGGTTGAGCGGAAAGCAACGAGCGGGTAGTGCTACTGCGGCTTGTATAACTCGAGATCCCTGAATGCTCGACAATGTGAAGCAACCGGTTCAAACCTTCGGGTCTTGGTCTTCGCTCGGTGCCGCTGGGAGCAATTTTTAAGATTGCTTCCGCCTGGCGGGATCGTGCACGGCTCATGGAGCACGGAGGATCGACCGTTTCCATATCCGTCGTTTCTAGGAATAAAATTCCGTTAAGCGGTGTTTTCATCCCTCTCCCTCTCCGAAGATGAGTTAGCTTCCACCCTTTGTCCACCAAGAGGCAACCAATTCATCCAAGTCGCGGTGGTATACAATTACATTTGTTTGAACAACGAAAAGATTTCTTTCGCGAGATTTTTTTCCCCCCTCGATAACAAGCGCGCATTAACAACACCTCTCGATTCGAGTTAAGGGAGAGGGAAGGTTTTTTTTTTTTTTTTAAGTTAAGCTCAGCCATCGATAAGAACGAGCAACGAGCCGATGACGCTTGAGATAACGAACAAGATCCACGGATCGAGATCTATCGAACGCGTTCGAATCAACGGAAGAAAACAATGGGATCCTTGGCGCGTCGCAGCCACGAGTAGCGGCAGTCCAGAAGAAAGGGCGAGTAGCAGCGGTAGCAGTGGAGGAGATGAGAAGTCAGGTGGCGGAGACCTGGCGAGAGAGCGCCTCTTCTCTCATTCGATCGCTCGAGATTGGCTCTCTCGCCAATTAAGACAATTTCGCGTGCTCTTATCAGTCAGCAGTCAGCCAGAGAAGGTTCGCGTGCACACGAGAGAGGAGAATTGAAAGAGGAGTGTGTGTCGTCTCTGCTGCAGAATCGTCATGTGTCCCGCTCCCCTTCTACGCCTCCTCCTCCTCCTCCTCCTCCTCCCTAACCCGCGTTCACTTTCTCCCTTCTCGCGGCCGCTCTCCCTTTCGCACGCCCTCACGTGTGCACGCGTCCTCCTCCTCTTCCTCCGTCTCTCCCTCCCTTCCTCGCTCGCTCTTCCCATCTCGTGGCTCCGTCACTCTATTTCAACCGACTCCTTGAACCGACGTCACCAACACCCACCCATCGGGGTGGTGGGGGGAGAGCCACCCCCGGACTTCAGGCCTCTCCGAGGTAACGTGTATGTGTCACCTGCGTCTATAATCCTTACTCAACCACCCATCAACCGCATTCAAGCTCGTCGGATCGCCGAGTATAGGTGGGATACGGCAGGCAGGCTGGGCTAGGTCTGGGCTTGGCGCCTCGACTCGCCTCGGTTTATGTACCTCTACGTAATACCGCGTGGTAGATACGGTATATATATCCGCGAAGTGCCTAATTAAAACAGACACCAGGAGACAGAGAGAAAACCAGGGACGAGAGACGAGGCTGGCCGCATAATAGGGTGTAAGGGCGCGAGGGAGACGGCGCTAGTTCCGTAGTCGGTTTGACAAAAAGCCCGAGTGCTAGAATTGCCACTCTTCGGCCACCAAGTGCACAGAGGAGAAGAGCAACGGTGAGCGAGAGAAGAAAGGAGAAGGAGCGAGAGAGAGAGAGAGAGAGAGAGAGAGAGAGAGAGCGGTGAAGATAGTGAGA